GCGCTCACTGTTGTCGCCCTGTTGATGACGTCAGCGACGCGGTTTAATAGGGTGTGCTTTAGTCGAGCGTGGTTTTGTCGTGCCACGAACAGCGTTCCATACGCCTTCGGGAGCGTTGAGTCGTGCCGGCCACATGACCACGTAGACGTCTTCGGGCAGCCTGGAGGAATGTTGTCCATGTGGTTGCGATGCATCGGACATGATTTCGCAACTAACAACAGCAACCTGTACAGCAAAAAGTTATTTTGTGCACGGGGGGGGGGGGGGGGGAAAGAGAGAGAGGTTCAAATGTATGTTATGCTTTCTAGAGCCTTGCCACTTCGAAAGGAAACGTCCATGAAAGGAAAAACGGTACCCACGTTTCCAGAGTTTCAGAGGGATGGGGACCATCTGGGGAAACAGTCTGAAAAATCAAATGGGACTGGAAGCAAAATATGGCAGGACGTGGCATATCTCACCATGGAAAACTCGGTAAGGAAGACGCAGAAGCTCGGACACATTGATTATGAATTGCTAAAAAAAAATAGGCAAGTCTCACCATGGTCCCAAATGTGTTCAGATTTTTCAAAAAAATAGTAAGAAAAAGGTGGAAAGAGACTCTGAAAATATCCACCAACATTAATAAAATACCAGGTTTTGATGAGCAGCGACAGAATAAAAATGTTTTGGGTTTAAAAAAAAAATCTTTTCTGCCCCTTTGCATGATGTTGTTAGTACACTAAAATTCCCCTTGCGATTTCTCAAAAACTTCAGGAAGTGAGGGGAGCCAAATGTCAACTTGTAAAGCTTTCCTGACCTGCTCCCATGTTGCCATAGGCAGGGGGATGGGAAATCACGCCTCACAGTTGCACTGAGGAATACGCAGCTCAGTCAAAACAAAACACATCCTAGCTGGCCAAAGTCAAGGCCATCTCCACGGAGGCCCGCAACGGCCGGAGGAAGTGACTTTTTACAACCTGTGAAATCGTTTCGTTGGGGGAATGTGACTGGTGACAGACCTTGAGGGGAGGGGAAAACAGGGTCAGAGGCAAGGCACGAACTGGGTGAAGTCAAAGCTGGCTTCACTTGGTTCACACCAACCTGGCACTCCTAATAAACCATTGGATTTTTCTTGCTAAATGGCTTGTGGCTCCTATTTTTATTAAGGCATTGGTTGGAACCCTGACAACAAGCGTGTAAATACGTTCATTTACATAAGTGTCATAAGTGTTAGAAAGAAGGTGACTTTCTAACACTTGCCATTGGTCAGTAGCCATCCCAAATATTGTCTGTTTGGTAAGGATACAGTTGAGAGAAAAGCCATTCCTGGAACCGACAAAGGCCATTTTAATGTGCATTTTTCTTCCTTGACCCCCTTCTGACATCTTAGGATCTAGAAGAAGAGCTGGATAAGAAAGACCGGTTGATAAAGAAACTTCAGGATCAAATCAGAACTCTTAAAAAATCCATTGAGACAGGTAGGACTTTTTCACGCCTAACACTTCCTGTTTTAAAATTCAATTTTGTGATACTGGTCAAGTTTCTCCCCCCCACTCTGGAAGTAACTATATTTTATAGAGACGCGGTGGCTCAGTGGCTAAGATGCTGAGGTTGTCGATCAGAAAGGTCGGCAGTTTGGCNTATTTATGCTTCCATATCAATATACTTAACATATCTTAGTTGGGATAAAAGTCTTGAGTCACATATAGGTAGGAATTATGGAGGCACAACACTGATATCAGTTAACATGTCCTAAAGCTGCCAGATATACGTATTGCTCTATAGCAGTAACATATGAACTTTAGTAGAGTGAGGGTATGCCCTTCAGGTTTAAAAGTGGATGTCTCCCTTAGCATAGGAATGACAGTAGAGCAGAAGCCATGGATAAACAGAGATTTTGCTCCTTTTTTTGTCAAGTTCTTTATTTTATCTTGTTTATACATATCAATGCGTGAAAGGTGTGATACTTGAGTATCATACATTTCAATACAAATAGACATAGTATTGTTACTCATAATTATTACATTTCATTTTCATTATTTCATCTTATTTACCCATATCTTTTACGACTGCCCTTCAATTCTAAACCTTCTCCTAAACCAGTGGTTCCCAAACTTGGCAACTTTAAAACTTGTGGACTTCAACTCCCAGATTTCTCCAGCCAGCTCAGCTCTGCTGGCTGGAGAATTCTGGGAGTTGAAGTCCACAAGTCTTAAAGTTGCCAAGTTTGGGAACCACTGTCCTAAACCTTTAGAAAGACGGCTGAAGTTTAATTAACAAAGGAAGTGATCCATTCTTCTGCGCACACATTATGGAAGGGAATAAGCTTGAATTGGATGCTTTTCTTACACAATATCCCTTTTATTTAATAGACTGTTGAAAGCACAGTACAGATAAAGTGGAAAAGAAACAAGAAACAAGAAAATAAAGGGGGTTAGAGATTTACAAGCTGTATAAAACCAAGTAAAAACATTGAAGTAACATTACATTACTGCTGTGTCCCAAAGTGTTCAAAACCATTATTAGTGTCAAATCAGTATTCAGTAATCCGCAAAGGTGTAACAAGAATCATGTCAGAATTACAATTGGCCTAAATTTCTATCTCATCTAAAAAAGTTCTATCCTTATTAACAGATCTTTTTTTAAAAAATTGATTGTCAAATATCTTTTTTCCTGGATTTCTTTTGCTCTTGGCAAAGTTAAGCATTGCATTATTGCAGCGCTCCAGTTTCTTATACGCTCTTTAATTCTTGCCCTTCCTGCAGAGTTTTGGAAAAGCATTTCCAGGATCAGAAGGAGAACTACGAAAGGGAGATAGACGAACTGAATGCTAAAATAAACCACCTGGTTCAAGAAATCACCCAGCTGCAGAAGCTCTTCAGGGAGGAAAACGATACCAATGAATGCATCCGTCTCCAAGTTGCCAGGCTGACCTCCGAGAACATGGTGAGGGCTACGGTAGGACTTAGAAATCTCTTCTAGAACCAAATGGCTTCCAAATACAAACAGGTAGGCAGATAGCAAAACCAGGTGTGGCTGCAGGTAAGTCCTCAATTTACGATCACGGTTGGGAGCAGAACTTCCATTGCCAAGCCAAGTGGTTATTAAGTAGGTCGCGTCCCATTTCGTGACCTTCTTTTGGTCAAAGTTGTTAAGTGAATCGCTGCAGCTGTTATCGTAGCGAAGGGTGCTTTTTCAAGAGGGTAGTAGTGCAAATCCTTCCTGCAGTCTGCAATTTCTCTGGAAATCCATTCCTACTCCCGTACCATTCGAAGGATGTTCAACCCCAAAGCTGGTAGCTGAATGTCTGAATGTACAGAGCCGAGGTGGCGCAGTGGTTAAATGCAGCACTGCAGGCTACTTCAGCTGACTGCAGTTCTGCAGTTCGGCTGTTCAAATCTCGCCGGCTCAG